TTGATTGTGGGTGTCAGCAAACACGTCATTTTTAAAAACAAATAACACGTTTTTTCCATGCAACAACTTATCACAGAGGGAGTTCCTATGAGGCTTAAAAAAATGCTATCTTACACTGTATTTCCATCGTGTACATTCTGACAAAGGTACCCAACAACAAATGCTCAAGACAAGAGCTCAAGTATTATGGTTGGGAGGCACTTTTGGTTTCCACCAGCACTCAGATGTGACCTTTTAGATGCACCCCTATCACTCTGATGATGGAGAAATAGATCCTGCACCTTTTCAAGTCTGAAAAAACGACGCTTCCTGAAACAGAAACCGATGCTTTCTCTGCCTTTGAAAAATTGGCTTTTGTTCCTGGCAATTCTTATCAAAGCCTTGTATTCCTTTTTATTTGTCTTTTTCTAAACTTAAAGTCATTACTCTGCTCAGATTAAAGAAGACGCTATAATTTTCTATGGGGTTAGCAAGATCAAAGAAAAAATTCTCCTTGAAGTTTGTTACTGGAACTGTCCATGCTGCAATGAAGCTCAACCAGCCATTGTTCAAATGGAAGAGCTGAAATACAGAGAGTTTGTATAAAATAAAAAGGTAAATACAGTATAAGATATTATCAAACATACGCTAGTATGGAATAGTAATGGAATAGTACAGAATAATATGATGTGACATCAAAGTTTTATCTGTAAATTTGTCTTGAGAAAATAAAATAAATTTATAATAAGATGTCATTCTATAAGAGCTGATTTTCATTTTACACTGCACTTTCAGCCTACATATAATAAGAACAAACATCTGACATCTTGCCTCTATTTTTTATCATCATTATTAAACAATAAAGTTCTCAATCCTGCATCAAGAAAAGGCAAAAAGCAAAGCAGCTCTGGCTCAGAATATTTCTATAAGTGAAAGGATATGTTGAGTGACATGTAGGGGTTTCGTTCAGCCATGCTCTGCAGTTCACCACACTCGATCTTGACATGAGGGAGGCACAGATTGTCAACCGTCACTGCTCCCAGGGTGGAGGGACGAGGGTGGTGGCCGAGGTGGCTGGATGTCACCTTGGACCTCATGGCGATGGTGTCCCAGGGTAGGTCCACTGAGTCTGGGGAGGTCCTGTCCATTGATGGGGGCATGCAAGGGAGACCCCCGAAGTTGGAATGGGGCCCGTACTTAAGGAGATGCTCGAGGATCTGACTGTCATGCAGAGGGGTACTGTAATTGAACTGAAATGGTGTCTGGTGCACAGGGTAGGGCCTCTTCACTGTCGGGGTGACGGAGCTCAGAGGGGCTACTGCCGGCTTGCGGACCACCAGTGACAGCGCCTCCGTCTGGTCCTGTGGGCTTTGAGCCTCAGAGCTTTCATAATACTCCAAAGAGCGGGGTTTCACTGTGGCCTCCTCAGCCTGGGGCTCTTCCTGGTTGGAGCCGGCCTGCTGGCTTTTCCTGTCTGCACTCATGCTGATCTGCATCTCTGGAGATGAGCACATGCGCTGCTGGGGGGACAGGTCCAGCCCTGTGGAGGACGCCTTCTTGAACACCCTGTCCACACAGTCATTCACAGCCCTCGAGAGCTCCTGCTTCAGGGTTTCCTGCAGGTTCTGACTTTCTCTCTGGTGTAACAGATAACCAACGACTTTCATTTGGTCCTTACAGTCTGCAGTCACTCTGCTATTCTTCCTCTCAAAATCATCTTCAGTGCTTACGTAGAGAGACTCTGTGCTTTCTCCCAGGGTGTGGTGCTCAACGGCGACTTCGGCCTCATCTCTGTTGTTGTGTTCGGGGTCTTCCTGGTTGTAAACTTGAAGGAACTTTTCCTGGAGCTGACGCAGGAGCCTTTGCATGCTGTGGAGCTGCTCTTTCAGTTTGTGACACTCCTCATCCTTGCTGTTGCAGTTATCACTACTGCTGCTTCCGGGTCGTCTGCTTGCAGGTCCTCCAACACTGTGTTCCTGATGCTGAGGCAGTCGCTGCTTACGTTTGTTCTCCCTGTACGCTTCTCTGGCCTCCCTGGTGTCTCTCCCATCTGTGTCAGACCTCTCACTGTCTCCATGCTGCCTGCTGTTGGGAGAGCCCGCCATGACCCTGATAATGTTCTCTACTCTGGCTCTTTTGGCCTGCAGGTGGTCAGTCATGGGATGCTCCCCCTCCGGGCTGGCTCCTGTGGAAACATGTCCACTGGGAGAGGCAGCCTCCACCGTGCTGTCCTTTGAGGAGACGCTGCACTGGTCCTCCTGGCTGGAGTCAGCTGCAGTTGTGCTGGAAAGGTAGAAATGGCTTTCATCTAGTGCCCTCTTGTTGTGGATCGTCTTGCGGAGGAGTTGGGAGATGATGGATCCGCTGGAGTACGAGGCCAGAGGCTCGTCATACATGTTTCTGCGGAAGCAAGGCAACATGACGTCAGGTTTTTCATCCTCTAGGCAGCCTTCACTTGAGTTGTGCATGTTCTGGTCGGGAAGACTGAGGTTCATGCTCAATGAGAGAACTGGCTGAGGGTTTCGGCTGCACACGTTGCACAATCAGAGTTATGTGAAATGCAAGAAATCTGAAAGACAGAAAAAAAGAGACACAGTTAAGACAATAAATAATGAGAAAAAACATTTTAAAATATTGTTATTATTTATTGTTTAAAAATCCTATACATGTCATTTTTATACTGCTTATTGTGTATTTTATATTTTAAAATAAAAAAAGACTAGTGTTTTTTTTAATTTCAGATAAACAGTTGCACGGTACACAGCAAAGATAAGGTGTACTCATATTTAAAATGATCAGACTGATCTAACAGATATAACCTTCAGAGGTAATTCTGTCATTTTGTGAAAAAAAAGAAGCTGAAATTACAATAGTGATTGTAAAATATCTACATTAACAAGCAAATGTACAATTACTGTTACATATGATAAAAAATCAAAGCACCCTACATAATTTTCAAGATCCTCAGTTCTGTAAAAAAAGAAAAGAAAAGAAAAAAGAGAAGAAGAAGAAGAAATCCTTGATCTTAAGCAATAAGGGAGTGCGCTCTTTTGTGTCATTTCATCTTAGGGGTTGTAATAATAGATATCACAGAGGATAAAAAGAGCAATTGTAACATTGCATGCCCAGCTTCTGAAAGCCAGAGACCACGCACAAGAAACGGCTCTGTTTATACATTATTTACAAAAGAAAATATCATGAAAACCTCTTTATTTTTTCTTGTTTTTCATCTTAAGGAATGATCAAGAGACGGTCTTCAGTGGTAAAAAGTAAAACGCTCAATAACCTGATTCTACGGACACTGACTTCATTCCCTTTAAGTATTTATTTTATATTATTTTTTGTGCTGTAACACGTTAACTCACACAACCGACTGCAAGTGCTGTTGTTAAACTAATTAAAAATACCTGTGTATGTACAAATGGAACAGATGAACAGATTCCACTTTTTATTTCTGTATCAGTCCCACATATATTCTGATTTCTTACTTTTGATATAATTAAAAATTCTATCAGAAAGACTTTAAGGAGAAAATGTAAACAAGCAGATTCACTTATACCACAAAGCAAAGTTTGAGACAATTTAATTCTCCTATGATTTGTGAACAGAAGGAGTCATTTCAATGTTTCATTTATGTTTCATTTACTCTTCACAGGCAGGTGAAAGTATGACTGCCTGACGACCACAACATTTACCACAATTTTGAACTAATTTGTACATGAAACTTTATAAACTATACATAATCATAACAAGCAAACCAAGTATTTTTTAGTTATAAAAACTGAAACATTCATTTAACACTCAATAAACACTTTGACTCAATTAAAAACTCACCAAACGTGATTACAGTTCTCAGCTGTCCTGTGAAAGCAAACGTGTCAAAAGCACTTCTCATGAGAAACCACTAAACTGAAGTGATGAGTTATGAAGCGGTGTGAGCTGCAGGCATGCACTTTGTCACACTCTCACGGGGCTGCAGTTTAACCACGGTTCACACAGAGACACGGTGAGCGGCAGTGATGGGACCTTACCTGTTGCGCTGGGACGTGCTGCCGTGCTGATGGCCTGCGCAGACTGTGAGTTGGACAGCAGGAGAGTCGAGGCATCAGACAGACGGAGCTGGGGCGTGGCCATGTGAATGCAATGAGGTGCTGCATCACCCACATAATGTCAAGAGGAGGAAAATATTTGTAAGGTGCAGAAGGGATATTTATACTGGTTAATATGTGGGTTTCAAGACTACTTAGTTACCAAAATAGCAATGGCGGAGGCAAATTGAAAACATGCGTGGCACCAATATTCACACTCCATAATTCAGTTTCACCTATAACTGTTAAATGTATGCATAGGTGTAGATTTTGATGTCGTCAAAGGACAACAGAACAGGTGCATTAGGTGCTTCTCCCAATAAAAACCTTAAAGTAGCAAAGGACTTTGACATAATTAAAGATTTACACCCTAAATTGATGCAGAAAAGCCACAAATTGGGGTATAAAAATCACTAGAATGGAGAAAATTAAGTGTTTGATGCTCATCATTTTCAGTCAGAGCCCCTTAACACCTGAGCCCTTGGATGTAGACCTACATAAAGTAATATGAAATGCTCTGTTGCCAATCTGTAATCAGCATATGATTTTATTTGTATCCAAGGGCCAATTGGCGGCCCAGCAGTGGAGGATTAAACACAATGAAGGCAGGTGTGACACTTAAGTAGCCTGCACAAATTATATAAGCTATTTAATTTATTAAAACAAATATTTTCTCCATATTTTATGAGTCTGCAGTATATTTAACAGTAACTTTAACAGCAATGACATACTCAAAGTTATCTAATCTAATCTTATCATCTTATCTTATTTATATTCTATTACATTCTCCGTTATTACATTGTTACCTGTAGGCTATTTGTAAGTGTGGTTGTTGACATGGTATTTGTAGATTATTTCTCAGCGGTGTAAAGGTCAGAGGGGACCACTGTGAGGACTCCCCCCGCCCCCCCCCCCCCACTCGGAGCACTTGGTTTATCCCACACTACTTCCTCGCTTCTTGCTCGTCGGTGTGACCGGAGTTCCCTTCCGCTGACAGGCTGCTGTCACACAGCCACCATGCTATCCCATTCCCGGTGTCTCACCAGGAATTTCGGCCGTTCCCTCTCTGCCATCCGCCAGGTAGGCGACAAGCAAATAAACCGTCACGGTTGCCACTCGCGACAGGTCTCCTCGCTGTCTTTGGCTGCAGGCGAAGGCGCAGCTTCTGTGTGTGTCCGGCGCTAACAGAGCCAGCATTAGCATTAGCTCTAGGCCACGGTCAGGCCGTAACATTGTAAGCCAAGGACAGTATGACACTTCACTCCACAGAGCTTTGCTGCTGTCAGTAGTAAAGCTTGAAGCAGCTCCCTCTGTGTTTAGTCGGTCTCACGTCTTTAAATGAACATTTAAGGTGTTTTACCCCAACAGGAAGTAGCTTGTCCATATTCAGTTAGCACAAACTTGTCCAATATTATGGTAGCTAGCAAGCTAGCTGTACTAAGTTAAGCTAAATGAACGGGTTGGCTAGCTTGTGCTTTTAGCTGTCAAGCTGAGGTCAAACTGTGGTTTATGTGCGAAAACGCCCAGTTTAGCAAACTTAACAAAAGTATTACGTAAATGTTTTTTACATTTAGAGTGCAACTTCCAGTCGCTGCATTTGAAGCTCACAGGAAAAGTCAAATGTCAGTAAAGTCCTGGTTAGTGTCTATATAAGTATGTCAGTGAGATTAGCAGTAGATCATTGAGCTGTTGTGCAGCTGCTTGAGTAGCTGCTCAGATAAAATGTATTTTAAACATTTGCTGGTGCTATTCCAATGCGAAAACTCAAGCCACCCGTTTGCCAGATTCATTTATTGATTATGTCAAAGGTCATCTTCAAGCGCATAGAAGTGACCTTTGACCGGCAGCACTGACATGTCTTCCTGTTGTTGGTTACACGGCTGTTTATTTACGACCCCAACTGTTGTATATTATCACAGCTAGACACAACACAAGTTATTGACCTCGATGACATTGTTATCCAACTAATGAGTCCATATTTCGCAGACATGTTATGCTTGTGAAACCTTAGAGTTTTTTGTCTTCACAGTATTTAACATGTACAAAGTTGCAGACATTTTGTAATGCTTAACTGTATCTTGTCACAGGGGAATAATGCATTAGCTCGTCGGGCCACGGCAGGTATGTGTGCTCATATTTCAAGCATGAAGCGTAAAATCCCTGTCATTGCTTTAGGACTGTCCTGCAGCAAGAACTTATTAACACTTTGCCCTTGTCTATTTTGTTACAGCTCTGTCGACTAGCCACTCTATTACTTTGAACAACAGTGTGTAAGTCCATGAACTCCTAAAAACACTGAACTATTTGAAAACACAAGCCACTTTACTGTCAAAATTTAAGTACACCCTCTCAGTTGTCAAGGCTGGCACACTAATACCCCTCTTCCACTTAAATCAAACTGGTTCAGTTCCAGTATTTACACCTAATTTTGAACTGCTCAGAGCTTTTCCACCAAATATAATTTGGTTCAGAACCCAAAAAGTTTGTTCTCAGCTGGAACCAGACAATAGCAGGTTTTTCTTGACCTGTAGTGTAAACTGTGATGACATCAGTGGGCGTGTCATATCCTACAGGTTGGAAAGAAGGGATGAAGAAGTCAAGTGAGAGATTGTCACACAAAAAAGAAAGTGCAGTGGCCTCATTAATAGTTGGTGCATGCATGCATAAAACAAGTATTTATAATGACAGAACAAAAGTTTGCAGGTAAACAGTGTACTGTGTTATTTCCCTGCAACACACTCTGTTGATGACACGTCCTTGATTATAAGGGCTCCAGGCAAAACTGGTGGAAATGTGGAGTGGTTGTCTAGATAGCACTAATTTTGTGGAAAATGGGTAAAAGTGTCATAGCTTTTCCATCCATGCACAGTCATGAACCTAGTTGCCAATTATCAGTATATAACATGTGCTGTTCCATACACTCAAGCCAAATCTAAATCAGCATTTTTTTTTTTTTGCACTCTTGGATGATAAATTGAAGTACTTTGGGAGATTTTTATTACTTGTCTGATTTTTTTTAAAACAAATTTCTGGGTTGTTTTTTCTTCAGAAAATCCAATCCCCGGTCCAGCGTCTTCCAAATCCAGTACTTTAGGACGTCTGCAGCCTACAGTATGTTTGAGCCTTCATGCCATTTATTTCTACACTTATCTCAATATGAAGCACAACCACTATTTGATGGAGTAAATGCATCTCCTTTGAATTGTCTTTGCTCTCCAGGAGATGAAGTTGTCACAGTTAAGACCCCTGCGTTTGCAGAATCTGTCACAGAGGGGGACGTGAGGTGGGAGAAAGGTAACTCCGTTTATTATGTAACAAACATAATGCGCTTCTGCTACAGATATCAGCCAAATCACAACCAGACTAAACAAATGATTACCAGTTTGCAGTGAAATGCTAAAATAAAGCTTTCCCCCTACAGCTGTTGGAGACACCGTCTCAGAAGATGAGGTGGTGTGCGAAATTGAGACTGACAAGGTAAAACTAAGTCATACAAATTCACCATGCTTGTGATTGCTGGTAGTTCAGAGGCTTTGCTCACAAAAGTGAAAGCCCTCAAAGTTTGTGGCGTAACAAATCAAAGTATTTGTGCATGTTGTCCTTTTCCCAAAATATCTTTCCACTTTACCCTTTAAAACTTCATATTTGTTGGTTGTGGTGTGAAAGACAAGAACATTTTCCCCAGACTGTGAATATTTTTCAGTAATATCTCATAAAACTGTAACAAAGACATTGACCCTGTGCTGATATTTAAGTTTACACTTATATAAATGCCTGCAGTGATTACTTTGAAATCTCAACATATATGCAATTTAGAAAATATCCTAGAACTATTCACATACAGTTTTGAAACTTGCATTATTTTGACTCTTTTATCCTTTGTTCCTTGCCATTAGACATCAGTGCAGGTTCCCTCTCCTGCTGCTGGGGTGATTGAGGAACTTTTGGTTCCTGATGGAGGGAAGGTTGAGGGAGGAACTCCACTCTTTAAGCTTCGAAAAGGAGGTCTGAAGTATTTTATTTTCATTGAAAATGTTGCAATATTGAAATAAAATAGTATTTAAGTGCCAGTTAACCCCAGGATTTAAAAACTATATTTTTTCCTCCTACCTGTAATGCTATTTATTAATCTAGATAGTTTTGGTGTGAGCTGCTGAGTGTTGGAGATATCGGCGATAAAGATGTCTGCCTTCTCTTACATATAATGGAACTAGATGGCACCCAGCTTTTGGTGCATTAGGGTCTGTGTCCACATAACATTTTACTCTGAGGGCCAACCTCTTTTTTTCAGTTGTTGTTGTTGTTGTCAAAGAAACAAAACCCACACATAGCATGTCATTCAAAAAAGTGCTTGGAGTGCTCATTTTTATGAAGTGTTCCCCAGCGCCCTGCCACTGCTTATATGGTGAAGAAAAACACTGTGTGCCCCTAAAGGGCAAAAAATTACATTTGAAAAACTCAACAGCAATATCTGTTTCCGAAAGTCATGACCTGGTTACTCACTGGTTACATGACCTAGCAACTACTTTGTTCTACTGAACTACACCCGACAACTGTATCACCATGCAGAATGAAGCATGCATAGACTCATAGAGGAGAGGCTTGTGCTGTGACAGTGCATTATGAAAACATAATGGCGTCCTCCTCCGCTGAGTGCTAACATTAGCTAGCTCAGTGATGCTAGGTGAGCTGGCAGTAGATGCATGCTTTCTTCTTTGCTGGGATACAGTTGGCAGGTGTAGTGCAGTCGAAAGAAATTAATTTCAGCATGAAACTGCTCAGGCAGACATCTCTACAGCCAATATCTCCAATACTCTGCAACTCACACCTAAACAATCTAGAATGATAATTAGTTCTACAGGTAAGTGGTAAAATATGTATTTTTTATTTAGGGTGAGCTGTCCCTTCAAGATAATATTCAAAGGCTGTCTTATCCTAACTGTTCACCTCTGCGTCTTTTAGCTGGTGCTCCCAAAGCTGCAGAAGCTCCAAAAGCCGAGGCGCCGGCCGCTGCAGCCCCTCCGCAACCTTCTGCTGCTGCTCCTCCTCCCCCTCCCCCTCCTCCCTCAGCTGTGGGCCCCATTCCCACCACTATGCCCCCTGTGCCACCTGTGCCAGCACATGCTATGGACACCAAACCAGGTTAGATGTCATGAGACAGACGGTCTGTGTCATGTGAGAACTGTTTTGCTTGACATCTGTGCTCTTGACCTCTAGCTTACATGATTAATCATTGAAGGCAGTGGCTTTCACCAGTCCCACTAAACTGATGTCTAGAGATACTAACTGCTTCATCGTGTCTTTCTCATAGTTTCAGCCATCAAGCCCAGCGCTGCTCCAGCTGCACCAGCGGCTCAAGCTGAGGGAGGGACAAAGGCAGCCAGGACAGAGAGCAGGGTAAAGTGCAGAAATCACCGAAACACCTAAATCACATTTGGGAGTATCTGATGGCTTTTAGATTTGCTTAATGGTCTAGTAGAGCGGGGTAAGGGTTGGGAACTCTTTACTGAATCTGCTAATTCTGCTTATTCTCATTTTTTGTTTTAGGTTAAGATGAACCGCATGAGACTGAGAATTGCCCAGAGACTGAAGGAAGCCCAAAACACCTGCGCTATGTTGACTACGTTTAATGAGGTCGACATGAGGTAGGAAACTCTAAATTAGTTGACCTATATCGTTGAGCCGTCAGTCCTATTTTTGATATTAAACGTGAAATGTGCCCTGCTGCATTACCACATACAAACAGAAGACTTTGAAGGAAACATCAGACCTTATAGCTGCATTTGTCAAAAATATGAATTCATTGATACATATTTATTCTGAATATTTGAAACTGTTTCAATATTCAGACACTGGTGCCTGCCGTACTTCCTGTCTGTCTCTTATTGTTAATGATTGCTACAGTCATTCTGCTGTTCTCTGCTACTAAGCAAGAAAAGAAAAGCCATTGTTGTTGTGTTATGCCCTTGGTATATTTGCCTTTTAATAAAAATTTTAACTTTTTTATAAGTCTTGTATTTAAGTTAGAAATTCCAGTATCGTAACAGCACTTCCTTATAGAGTGTAGGCAGTATGTATACAGTATACATACTGTATGTATATCCGTGTTAAAAGCCAGAAAAACACTTGCACAAATGGTTATAGATTGGAATCTGCCCAATAGGAAAAGCTTTTTGAAACCTGATATCCTCTTAAACACTGGAATGTAAATATTTGGTCGTAATGCTATCTAAAACGAAGATAAGAATTGTTAAAACAGGTTTTATTAATTTACAAGGAAATGTTATTGTCTGCACTTGCCCCCTGTGCTGAAGAGGACACTTTGAGGATTTCTTTTCCCCGCAAATGTGTGGTGTCAGCTTTCGGCTATTCAGGGTTTTCTATGTATCCTAATTAGATTGACATTGACGGTCTGGAGGAAGACTTCCCATGCTAGGGCTCATCTGGAGCCGAAGGAGCTAGTCAGAGCAGGAGGCTGGAGCATCTGTAGGGGCCCACAGAGACCTGCGCTCTGAGTGGAAGAGCAGCCTCAACCGATATGGGCTTTTATGACAGCCCAATAAGATTTACAGGCTCTAGAAAGTGAAGATTTTTATCGCTTCTTCTCTCCTTTCTCGGAGAGTCTGTGTCTTGGGAGGGGCTAATTATGTTAGGGGAGAAACCCTAGAGCTTCAACAGGGTTAGAGACAGGAAAACAAACAATTAAAAAGAGAGATACATGAGAAAAATGAGCAATGATGAAACGATTAGCGGGCCAATTTCAATAGCCTGAATTCACCACAATCTGTGACAGCATTCGATATAAAGGCATAGTTTGTTTTCCTTTGAAAATGATGTTAGAGTTATGACCTGTGTCTTTCATAACATGGTCAACAATATTTGAAAACTGTTTTCAATGAGTTTCTAGTATCTGTTCCTGTTTATCTTTAGTAAAAGTATACTATGCAGGAATTGTCGGCTGCTGTTTGTAAATGGTCTTGCCAGCAAACGTGATAGCCAACTCCAGCTTTTTCTGCTTGACATTTCGCCTCACTGTATTTGTGTCTTTTTCAATGCTGTGTCCACAATTGTCATAGCTTCCTCTTTGCCCAGGAACTTCCTGAACACAGCAAAATTAGAAGGAAAAAAAAACAGGCAGAGAGCAGAATCTCTGCTGCAAAATACACTGTTAGTCACTTCTACAGGCTTCCCATGCTTGTGAAATTCCTGCAAAGTTATGAAATCTGAAAACTGTTTTCCAGTCCTGGAAACTTTTTCGAATTAACAGAATGTTTTGGAAAAGTTTTGAATACACATTGTTCTGGCTAATATGTATAATATGTTTATTAAAAATCCTGAAACATATCTAATGTTAAGTGAAATATGTTCCTTGTAGTATTAATTTAAAATCTAATGTTGAGCTGTGTGACAGTTGAAACATCACTAGTATCACATGATACGTATAGACAAGCTATACATGGAGGTTGATGTCCCGATAAGCAAGACCAGTGTGTTGGGTCAATGATCCACTTGCATGGGGGAGGACTAAAGAGACATGCAGCAATCAACCTTAATTTATTAAGGTGTTGTCTAAGTTTAAGTTCAGGCAAAGTCTCAGAACAATTATTAGACATGTCCATAAAACAAACGCGTTTAACAAGAAATAAATGCATGCAGACTTGTCAAAATTATAATCCAAACACATGCTAATATGCATTGACATCTAAAACATCTTCACTTTTCTATCTGCCCGAAAGGGGCGTGGCCTTGATGTTTTGTGAAGTACCTGTATTTGCCAGTCTGGTCGACTGGCATATGCAGCTGGTTGGCAGTAGGAATGATGAGTGATAGCTGTTTACTTCTCTGCAAATGCCTGAGAAGCGCCCATTAAATGTAGCTAAACAGGCCTACCCATTTTAAACTACTTAAATAAAGTCATGGAAATGGTGAAAACTATTGTGAAAAAGTAATGGAAAAGCTTTGAAAATGAATTGTTAAAAATGAGTGGGAACCCTGCTTCTAGTGGGTCACAAGTGATGATTGAGAGAGATAAGAAAATCCTACACAATACAGATGTTAAAGTTTACATTTAAATGCGTGATGACCTGTTTCAAGCAAAAACCATATTGTCTTATTCTACCTAATACATGCCCAGTTTTGATGAACGTCATATATGAATGAACTCATACGAATTTGTTGTGTTGCTGTACGACAATGCGGTAACCAGCTCAGTTCATCTGTCCAAAGCTATAATCTAGTAAGCGCACATTGAATTTCGGATTCAGAGTCACAGATATCTATGAATTTTTATGATAAAGTCCATTTCCTTAAAGTAAGTCTTAAGTAATTTCTACAATAAGCACCTCAGTGCCCTCCATTTTTTTTAAGATTAATGTGTATTCAATTCTGTGTCAACTTTCAGGCTAAATTGTCGGTTGATGTATGCATTATTTTTCTGTTTCCCCGCAGCAACATCACAGAGATGAGGAAGACTTACAAAGACATCTTCCTGAAAAAGCACAACATCAAGTTGGGCTTCATGTCTGCATTTGTGAAGGCTGCTGCCTACGCTCTGACTGACCAACCTGCTGTCAATGCCGGTATAGATTTAACCTAAAAGACTGAGAAACCTCACTTTGTGGTCTCAGGGTGACTATGCCTTTGCACGTACGGGTACAAGTCACTGCACATTTGTGTGGTGAAGAAACGATTTAAGTTTCAGTACACTTCACTGCCAGACCTCAAAACCAACACTGACTTATTTACTGCCTTAAAACCACCCTGACCTATTTAGATAGACCATAGTGAAGCGGGGGGTCTGAATAAATAGTCTGTGGGTATCACCTTTCGCGGGTAAGAGAAAATGGAACAAGTGAAAAGGAAATTAGTTTTGGTGGAAATGTTGGTGTTATTTACAGTTTTAACTTGCATGCATATTTCTCCTGTGTAAAGTCTTCTTGCTTTCTTTATGTTTTTAGTAATTGATGACACAACCAAAGAGATTGTGTACAGGGACTACGTTGACATCAGTGTGGCTGTGGCCACACCAAAGGTGAGACAAGTGCATTATAATGTAATGGTTAGTGTAAGTACTTGATAGCCACTCCTCTGTAATGTGAAGGGCAGAAAATTCAGTCATGTCTCTTCTCTCTCAGGGTCTGGTGGTTCCTGTAATCCGAAGCGTAGAGGGAATGAATTTTGCTGATATTGAGAAGGCCATCAATGCGTTGGGAGAAAAGGTAATATTTTACATTGCATATTAATACACATTTGAAATAATGTCTTTGTTATAGTTTTTGATTCTTACTTGTTGTGAAAGGTTCATAATTGTGGATGTGTGTTCGTAGGCCCGTAAGAATGAGCTGGCTGTTGAGGACATGGATGGAGGAACCTTCACCATCAGCAACGGTGGTGTGTTTGGGTCCATGTTCGGCACACCTATAATCAATCCACCACAGTCTGCTATTTTAGGCATGCATGGCATCTTCGACAGGCCTGTGGCAGTCAGTGGCAAGGTTTGTTTCCTCAATATTGAATATTCAAGTACATAAAGTACACAAAATAAGACAACATATTTAGCATTATAATGGTCACATATGGAAAATGAATTGACTCTTCACTAAGCCCCACCCCTTTGTGGTGGACAGTCAAGCTGTGGGAGTAAGCATGGAGCTCACACTGTAACTAACTGCACTCCCTGAAGAAATATTTTCATATTTTTGTAAAAATTAAAGTGATTCCAGAGAGAAGCAGACAGAGGGGTCTACAGTCTGTGATTGAAGGATATATCCAGGATGTCAAACTGACTCAGCAGCAGCAACAGGTTAAAAAGACAAAGATAGTTAGAGGCTAAAGCCGAGCTATAGGCTACAGCTTACAGTGTAAAAGTGAACCACCACATCACTGCTGATCGCCACAGAAGACAATAAAAAAAAGGGGAAACTTTGCCCATATTGAAATAGCTGTGTGGCATCGCAGTGTGTGCAGATGAACGGTGTTTGGCTTCCCCCTATCCCCCCAGCCGCTGGACCTCTACTGGTGGAAATGTGGGGAGCTCCCGGGGAAGCAAAACAATGTTCATCTGCCCACACTGTAATGACACACAGCTGGTTGAATATCAGCAGTTTCCCTGCTTCCTTCCACTGGTTCCTGTAAAGCAGGGTGGGTTTTTATTCACTGCTATAGCCATTAAAAAACTAAAGCTGCATGTGTACATTGAGTAGGCTATACCCTCAGTAGCTAGCAAGCCAACCCTACACTTTTCAAGGTTTGTTCTTGGTTTTGGAGCAGGTTGTTTATGAGTATCACTATTACACGATGTTCCCCAGGCATAGCGTTCAGCTCGAAATCCAGATGAAGATGAAGAAAATCTGAAATGATGCATGAGACTAAATGGAGCACAGTGGTGTAGTTGTCAGACCCTTGACCCTGGCCGATATTATGCTATGATTAGCCAGTCTGCGTTCAATGGGTGGGACTTAGCAAAGGTTTAGTTTATAAAATGAAAAGCGATTTTAGTTGTTTCTAGTTTAAAAAATGGGTTTGGTTTGTTAAATCAGTGGTTTCTATTCTTACATGCACTGACTCCTTTTCCCTTGTTTAGGTTGAGATCCGTCCCATGATGTATGTTGCCCTGACGTACGACCATCGTTTGATCGATGGAAGAGAGGCCGTCACCTTCCTGCGCAAGATCAAGTCGGTGGTGGAGGACCCCAGGGTGCTGCTTCTTGACATGTAAATCCTTGTGAACTCCAGGCCCAACCAAACAAACCACCCTACACAAACAGTGGCTGTACTCACCTGATGAACATTATCGTAACTGCAGTTGATGTATTGTTGTATTGGTTAACTAGAGAGGAAAGAGGACTTTTGGGGAACAGTTGAGTTGTGCGATGGACATTTTTAAGGATGGCAGTGATAAAAGGTTTGGTGACGTTACAAAGAAGTGTTAGGGTCTGGGGTTTCTGTGGTGCTGGTCTAGATCAAAAAAAGGATATTCTATTACTCATATGCGCCATATGTCATTTTCTACATGCAACTGAAAACACTTTCAACCTGTTGAGAGATGAATGACAAACATAGATAAAGTGCGTAGTGTCATTTCATGATTTTGGTTGAGAGAAGAACAATGAATGAACATATTGGGCCAGAAACCAAGAAACACTATGTTCTGAAATGTCCAAACTGAGAATTTATGCCATCTGTTTCACACAAATGAGGAAAATTCTCTTTATGCTGTGTAAGAAAGACTATTTAAGAAAAAAAAGAAAGTTTTAAACAATAAAAGCTACATTACTCAACTGTAGTTTTTGTTTGGGATTTTTTTTGTCCTATTACATAGACAGTCTGGGTGGCTAAATTTAAAACATCTGGGGCATAGTTAGCAGTTCATCCACATGTAGTGCGCAGTAGCAACTCTCACTGAGGTGTCATTTATTCAGGTTTTTCCTTTAATGTGTCACCTGTCTGTATATTGGTTAAGATGAAAAAGTCTTAGAACCTCAAAATAAAAAGCCCCACCCCACAGTGATCAATTTGGAATGGCTTTGGATTTCCTCTTTGGGGCAATGCATAGCCTAGTGAGCAATTATGACACACAAAGGCCACAAAACAGTGAGTAAAATGTCAGGGCTAGAAATTTTTTTTATAATTTATTGCCTAATTTTTTTTCAGTTTTTTAACGGCAGACAACCTTAACATTTGTAATTGTCAGAATTTAGTCTAATGTGGTGTCAGGTTACATGCGTGGTGATCATATAAAATTTAAATATACCAAAATTGCATCAAAGCTAAAATTCCCATCATATCTGAGTCTCAGAAGTCAAAATAAATCCATTTGTTTCATGTTTTGAAGGGTCATGGGTCACCACTTTTGTTCAAGTTTCAGTTTTTATTGTCATTTTTCTTTGGGAAGCACAAAACTCAAAGAAAACCAGGGATCTGGTGCTGCATCCCTTTTGGCCACACCAGGATTCAGTGTTCAACTTCAATTCCAGTGCAGGACCGAGGGATCAGAGTGGAAGCAGCTGCACCTGCTAGCAGCTCAGAGCTTTCCACGAGACACCGCTGAAGAAGGGATGACACTTGATGTCACTCACGCCTCCACCTCCAGAGCCCAGGCGGTAGCCGGCATCAAACTGAAGTAGCTGTGGAGCAGCATAATGGAGAGTGGGGATACTGTAAGATTTAATCACATCCTCTGTGTGTGTGTGTGTGTGTGTGTGTGTGTGTGTGTGTGTGTGAGAGAGAGCTACAAGTTAATGACACTGAGCACAATATTTAGAATTCAGGCCCTGAGGGTGTTTCAAGCCTTCAAACTGACCTCAGTGAGCAGAGACGCAGCTGCAGCGCTCAGGTGGTTGGGGATGAGCAGCTGGGTGTGGGAGTGGATTCCTGCAGGATGGAGCTGCCACAGTGGCTGGAGGCACAGTGAGCAGAGTATGAGAGAAAGCCATGATCGAGAATCATACTTGGCAGGAGTGATGCATAATGACAAACATGCAGATGTTACTCTGTAAGACTCAACATGTTCGTAGGGCCTTATGCTTACCATTCCTGTTAGGAGCTCAAACAACAAAGACCCGAGACTCCACCAGTCACACGCCTCTGTAACCCTGGACACTCCTCCAATTTCTGCCAACATACAATGAGGTGAGTTTAGTTGTATTCATGCACAACATTTTGCAAACACATTTGTTTCGGTGTCTTTATATTCCCATAAAATGTGCAGTACTTGACCTTTTTTTCAGAGTAAGTTGAACCAGCTTAATCTTACCACTAGGTGGCAGTTTACACAAAGGAACAACCACTGGTTTCAGTTTACAGAAACAGGCAAGAACTAAGAACTAACAAGAACTAAGAATAGGGAGCAAAATCTTCCAAATTGGGCCCCTCATCCACACCCTTAGTCCTAATACAAACATGGGTAATTTTGAATAAGCTCTTGGCCATTAGTCTTGTAGTGACAGAGATTAAATCTTTAACAAGCATTTCCAAATACAGTGTTATAAACCCATCCAGGCCATGCTCTGTTTTGCATAAAGGCAAAGCATAAAGGTCAGAGAAAACACAGAGAACTTTTTTCTTTCTGTCACAGTTATATTCCCCCTTTTAGCTAATAACAAAACGAGGAGAAAACAAATGTCTTATTGCAAGGCATTAAATCACAAGATCAAAACATGAGTGAACAAATAAATGCACTCTTCATTTATCACCATGTCAAAATCCAGTGTTTATAATGTGTTAATTTATTCATTTCCAAGACAGTTTAGAGACCCAGGTATGCAGAAATGTTTAAATACACCATTTAGAACAGTGGTTCCCAACTGGTGGGTCACAGGTCCATTCTGGATGGACTGCAAGTGATTCGTGAATGTGTCAAGTTTCTAAAAAAAAAAAAAACACACACACTTTATTTTGACATACAGTGAATATCCAGAACACAGCTTTTATTTTGAAGTGCCGTTTCCTGCTGTAGAATGAGTGAATAACAGACAGCTACTTAACAGAGACAGCAGACTAGCTCGACCACATGGCCAAACGCAAGTATGATGCTGAGTATTTTTAAACTGTACCTTGGACTAATGACTAAGGAGAAATCTGGACCCTGTGGCTGATCCAATTGGAAACCACTCACCACAATTTAGCCTAACTTTGGAGCATTATTTAGCCCCCTTGCTTAAAACTGAGCTGCTACAGTGTTTTGATTGTTTACTTTTGCTAGTCTGCCTAGCTTGATTTTTACCATGTTCAGCTTCAGCCTGCCATACCCATAGATATATATAATCATAGATGACTCATTCCTGTGGCGACTGTGCCTCACCGTCGCCGCCATCTTGGGGAGGTCACTGCCAGCTGGCTAGTACTGTTGTGTATGGAGATAAGTCTTAAGCAAACTTGGCGTGCTCACTCAAAAGTCTCAAAGTGTAATTGGGGGGGCGGCTAGGAGCTGAAACGCGTCCATTCGACTGCTGCTGTGCAATCCACTATATTAAAAAGTATTACACTTATTAGTGAGTGCTGTCGGGTTTTTCTGCTTTGCTGTAATATTTTGGACCGGCACCCAATTACACTTTGAGACTTTTGAGTGAGCACGCCAAGTTTGCTGAAGACTTATCTCCATACATAACAGTACTAGCCAGCCGGCAGTGACCTCCCCAAGATGGCGGCGACGTTGACGCATCGCTGAAGCGGGCCAAAGCCGTCAACGAGGTATCTACTGTATATGATATGTATGACCATACCTGGTGTGGCTGAAACTCGACTACACCATTTTCACAGTAACTGTGGGGGGGTGGGGTGTTGGATGACAATTAAAATGTGTTTTAATGATAATAAATTGGTGTAAATGTATAAAGCAAAGTAAAGTATTGTACTTGATCCCATTTAGGGGGGAACCATAGACCTTTGCATCCACCCCACCTAGGCCTCTGACCACGGTTATCTGTACCGTTTGACCCCGCTGAACAGTAATGCAAATGTTTACCTGGAGCACAGTACATCTGTTCCATGGCATTGGTGCTGATCTCTGACTGAACCTCGCTCCACTGTCCGAAAAAAGTCAAACACACCTTCCCTGTGAAAACATTGTTTTTGATCAAAATTAAAAAGTATAGTGGTTTTCCACATGCAGTCCTTTACAGGTATTCCATGAACTCACCGTTGCTCGTTAGCAGAACGTTTCTAGGGTTGAGGTCCCGACACAGGATGCCTTGCTGATGCAGACTCTCCAGAGCCAGCAGAATCTGAGCCCCCCACACACGCACCTCTGCCTCTGGAAGCCCCCAGCACGTCTGCATGGACTTATCTGTTGTATTGGAGGGCTTCACAGGTATCCGAGGCAGGTGGCACCAGCCGTCCACCTCTATAATCTGGTCTTCCCCCTGCCCCTCAGAGCCTTCTGATTTAACGAGAGCATCTGCATCCTCTCCGCTCTTGTGGGGAGTGGCTGCATGATGGCCTGAGGAGAACCAGCTCCCAAATGATCGCTCTTTTCCAGATGCCACCTTCTCTCCAGGGCTCCGCAATTCGCAGGCCTCCTCTACAGCCTCTCTCGTCTTACTGGAATATGTTTCCCCTTTGTGCTTCACCCCTGAGAGGGCAAGGGGGACCCCTGGAAGTGCCCCCTGTTTTGCTGCAATGCTGTGGCAGAGGGAAGCAGGGGAAGGCCAGGAGCTTTCTGAGGTGATCCTTGTGTCTGTGTAGTCAGAAAATACTGCTCTGTCTGTGCTCCTGATGACTACCATTCCATTTCTCTCCTCTGTGGTGGGGCTGCTGTCCTGCTTTGAGTCTGTATCCAGATCTGAAGAGTTAACACTTAAAACAGATCCTTGGTGAGAGCCATTGGTATCCCATGATGCCCTGCCACGGATCTGGGTTTGGCAATGGAGAGGAAGATGCAAAATGGCAGGGGATGAGCTCAAACCATTATTTTCACTGTTTGGCAATCCCGCTTTTATAGATGAGGTCTGATTTGTATGAGGTGGTGTTTGTCCTAGTGTGCTATTTAAATGACTGTCAGTCACTGCATAGGGGTTCACTTGCTCACAGTTACATGCTGGATCGGCAGCTTTCCAAGCCACTTCAAACTCAGAGCTGCACTCTGTGAGTCCCATTCCAGCTTTATTTTTATGGAGTCCTGACATGACGTCAAGAGCCTGACTGACACGAGCGCAAGCGAGAGGGAGAGCAGGCTGTTCCTGAGTTTCACTGGAGTGCAAACACAAACTAGGAGCTGGTGGATGGATGCGGGCGTTGACCTGTGTCCTCGTCGGGCCTGAATTCAGAGTTAGTCGATCGAGCTTGGTATAAAATGACGCTGCGGAGCGTGTGTTCTGCAGACAGCCCGTCTCCTCGATGTAGGAGTGAGTCCCGCAGCTCTCGAGTCGCTGCTGAGTCTCATTCCATGAGGTGGAGAAGTCAGTGTCCGGGCTCTCATCACTTAACTTCTGTGGAATCACTCCTGCGCTCTCTCTGCTGTTGTGCTGGTAGTCTGTGCTGATTGTGGGTGAGGTGTGGCTGGTCTTCAGCTTGACGCTGTGCTGGCCAGATGTGAAGCATTCTGGGTGTTCCTTGGCCTTCTCGTTCCTCAGCTTGTGCAGCTTCGAGAAGAGCCTCCCACCTGGGACAACAGAGGAAGAAACACTGGATCAGACAAAGGTGCAAGTGCAAGCTTCAATATCCAGGACAGAGCAGTGACAGCTCACCTTTGATATGCTCAAGATGTAGGTACACAGCATCCTCACTGACGTAATATCTTAGCAACTTAACCATGTATGGCACCCCCTGAGGAATGATGGTTGGCTG